TTCCGCGGAGGCCGCGGCGGCGGCCGTCGGCGCCGCGCGCCGGGCCTTCGAGGGCGAGGCGCGGGGCGACGGCGCGCGCGCGGCGCTCGCGGAGACGGCCGGTGAGCTCGCGCTCGTCGCCGCGGAGTGCGCGGAGCGGGCGCTCCGCGAGTGCCTGCGGTCCGCGATGGCGCGGGGCGGCTTCGTCGCCGGCGCGGGGCCCGCGTCCGTGGACCTCGGCCCGCTCAAGGACGCGCTCCGCGCCGCCGGCGCCTTCGAGGCGGACCACGGCGCGCTGTCGCCGTCGGCGCGGCACCTCGCGGACGACGCGGCGCGCCTCCTCGAGCTCCGCGCGGCGATCCGCGAGAGCCGGTGGGAGGCCGACCCGCGGTGCCCCTGGCGCGGGGCGCCCAAGGCCGACATCCTCCGCGCCGTGCTCGCCGGCCGCGACGGGCTCGCGGGGTGCTTCGCGGCGCTCGAGCGCGCGCCGCCGCGGGCCCTGGCCATCGGGGGCGACGAGTAAGCCGTATGCGTCATAAAGGCGCGCGCATGCCTCAGGGTGCACAGCACGCTGCAGTCAATGTGAAGGCCTCGAGCTCGCCGTGAGTTTGGCGGAGGCAGCCCATGAGCGGGGCGAGGGCGTCGGCGCGTCCTCCTCGGACGACGCGCTCGACACGAGGTGCGCGTCGGGCGCCAGCGATGACGGAGTGCGCAGCGATGGACGCAGCGACCGCGCGACAGCCCCGTCGGACGTCGTCGACGCGCGCGCGTGCCGTGCTCGACACGCTACTTAACCATCATATCTACGCGGAAGACAACGTCAGGTGGGGAGTTTGGCTGGGGCGGCACATCTGTTATACAAACGAAGTGTGTGCGTCTTTCAAGGTGATCTTCTTACTGAGCGCAGTCGACAAGGCGCTGCGCCAGACAGTTCTCAATCGTGCCGCTCTATGGGAATGCATGACGCGGTCGATGATCCCGAGCCTGCAAAGTGTGCCGACTAGCGTGACACCGCGGGGGCGAACGGGTTTTCTTAGAACGCTGCGCCTCTTTCGCGACCAGGAGCTGCGCGTGCGCCCGACGCCGTCGCTAGACGCGTTTCGACGCAGCGTCGAGATGCCGAAGTCTATCACGTTCTTGCTCGATGTCTACTCTGCCTCTGGAAAGTGGGCGTTTTCTGCCGAAGAACAGTGCGATCTCGACGCCGATGGGAAAATCGTCGCCTGCAATGGAGTCCCGCAAGATCCAGAGTGGCTGTTCGTCTCCTACGACTTCGAGATCAAGGCACCGCTTCAAATCACTGCGATTGGAGAGATCGCCGCTTCGGATGCGCGAGCCCGGAGAATGGAGGTCGAGCAGAATGCGGATTCTAACACATATCCCACGTATGCAAACGTTTTGTTGTCCTTTTTCGTGGACGACGAAGGGCCGCCGACGATCCTGCTCAACGAATGTTCGTCTTGCTTGACTCTCGACAAACTTTCTGTGGAGTTCCGAACAGACATACACGAAAACTGGCACCCGCGTGCCTCGTTCCCCGGGCGAGATTTTTGGAAGCCGGCTCGGTGGACTCGGGCCGCCGAATTCCAGACGGGATGCGATCTTCGCTACGGCGTCGGCTCGCTGCCGTTCGACCCGGTCGTTCAGCTGCGCTTCTCCCCGCCGGGCGTAGACGTTAGGAGCATCCTGGATCCAGAGGATGATGTGATCGACGAGGACGACCTGGGCAAGTGTTTTGTGAGACTCGAACTCGATTTCGAAGTGGACGACAACGGCGTCTCCAAAGGCTCGGACGCGACCGTCGTCCCCGCGCTCATGCGCCTGCGCGAGGACCAGAAGCGCCAACCGTTCTTCTCGTAACTCGGCGTTTTACGACACCCGTAGCAGCGCCGGGGTGCCTTCTGGTCGTGTTCGCGAGGCGGGGTCCTGGCGGCCGAGCAGGTTGACAAAAATTTATTGAGGTCTGCTTTTGCACAATGGTGCCCCTCGGAGCCGACGACTTCGAGCGAGAAGACATGTCCTCGACGAGATCCCGGCTCGCCGCCGCAGCCGCAGCCGTCGGCGTCGGCGCCCTGCTCTACGCCCGCGCGCGGAGGCGGCGGTCGAGCGCCGCGGAGGCACTGGAGCCCAAAACCACGGCCGAAGTCGCCCGGCGCGTCGAGCTGAGCGTGTTGCGCTTGTGCCGCGTCGCGCACCGCGGCGCCCGGGACCACGGCGGCGAGGTGGTTTTGGTGACGAACAACAACTTCGCCCTGGCGCCGACGATCTTCCGCAACGTGTCGAGCCCCCTCGCGCGCGCGGTCCTGACGTCGAAGCTCTCGCGCGAGCCGTTCTGGCGCGACGCCGTTGCTCAAACTATCTTCAAGGCCTTCGCGAAGATCCCCCGCGCGCCGGACTACGCGCCGCCGCTGCTCCAGTTCATGAACGAGGACTGCGACTTCGCCATGGAGCACGCGGACGGCAGCTTCATGGACCACTTGCAGTTCTGCTTCGAGTACTCGGCCGCGCACTTCCCGGGCGAGTCGCCGAACGTGCTGCTGCTCCACTCCGTGCTCGGCGTGGGCACGAACTACTTCCCCTGCGACGCGTCGAAGATCCCCAAGCTCAAGGCCCTGCTCACGGCGCGGGAGTTCACGCAGGTGGAGGCGTTCCCGAGTTTATTACGCCTAATCGTCCGCGGCGCGTTCCTCCCGGCGCTGGCGGCCTTCGAGGGGCCCCTGGCGTCCGTGGAGCTGCACCGCGTCATCGACAACAAGCGGCTCGTGCTGTCGGGCGACGATTTGTGGACCGCGCTGAACTACCAGCTCGTGCACCTCAGGGCAGGAAAAGAGTGATTCAAGTTCGCTTCAACATGAGTGTTCTGCGCGCGCGCGTTCCAGAAAAAGCACCCACGCTTCGAGAGCGCTCCGAGAGATGATCGCTCGTCCCAAAATCAGCCGAAACGAGTGGAAAACGACCGAGATAGGAGCCTTTGAAGTTGGGAATTTCGCACCCGTTTCCTGCCCAGGTCCACCTGCTCGACTTCCTGCCCGCGGCGGACTGGCGCGCGGAGATCGACAAGGACCTCTTCCTCATGAACTTCGCGGCGCTCCACGCGCTCCTCGTGGCCAAGGGCAAGCTCGTCGCGCGCGTCGACTTCGACCTCGCCCAGGCGCTCGCCCCGGCGCCGTCGCCGTTCGCGCCGGACCCGAAGCGGTTGAGCCTCGGCGACCTCATCCGCGACTACGTCCCCAGCGCCATCCAGGCCGCCATCGGCAGGAAGGAGATCGCCAAGTACAGCAAGGCCATCGGCCACGACCTCGCCTTCGCCGTCAAGCCGCCGCGTTCGCGCGACTTCCACGCGGACGGCACCGCCGCGCGGTCGCCGTCGAAGAAGGCCGCCGCCTAGATTTTTAACCCCGCGCGAACAAACACGCCGCTTCCAACCTGCCCTTTAGCGCCGGTAGACGCGGACGTGCGCGACCTCGAAGACCGCGTTGTCGAGCGCGTCGTCGGCGACGCCGTGCTTGCCGCCCCAGTTGCCGCCGACGGCGAGGTTGAGCATCACATAAAAGGGCTCGTCGAAGGGCCACTGGGCCGGCCCCGCGTGCTCGTTGGCGTAGCGGAAGTGGGGCTCCGCGTCGTCGACGCCGATCGCGAGCCCGGCGTCGTCCCACTCGGCCCAGTAGACGTGGAAGGCGTCGTGGGCGTCGTGTAAAACCACGGAGCCCTTGCGGTCCTTGGCTCTGCAGGTGCGCCAGTTGTAGGCCTCCGTGTGGACGACGGAGTGGACGACGCCGGCCTCGAAGCCGACGGACTCCATGATATCAATTTCCCCGGACTTGGGCCAGTGGCCGTGGCGGCTCTCGGAAGACATGCACCAGATCGCCGGCCAGAGGCCGCGCTTCGCCGGGGGCAGCTTCGCCTTGACCTCGACGCGGCACGGCGGCCGGAAGTCGCCGCCCAACTTGTGCCGCGTGCGGATCCGCGCGGACGTCACCTCGCCGCCGGCCCAGTCCTCGCGCCGCGCCGTGATCTTCAGCGTGCCGCCGCACACGCGCGCGTTCTCCAGCCGCGCGTCCGTGTACCACTGGCGCTCGTTGTGGCGCCGGTCGTGGACCCAGTTGTTGCAGTTCGTCTGGAAGGACCACTTGCGCTTGTCGGGCAGCCCGTTGTAGTCAAAATCATCGCTAAAAACAAGCCGCCAGTCTTTTTTTTTCTCGCAGCGGACGGCGGCCGCGGCGGTCGCGAGCGCCGGCGACACGCGGAGGGCCGCGCGCAGCATATCGTCACGAAGTTCGTTCGAACGCGCTTCTAACGTGTTAATTGAAGGCTTCTTGTAGTTTTTAAGGGGGGGGATTAAAACCTCACAGGTCCGTGCGGGCGCCGTCGACGGCGGCGCGGACCGCCGCCGGGAGGGACGCGACGTAGCGGTCCACGTGGCGGTTGCGGTGCGTGATGTTCCAGATGTCCATCCATGGCCCCGTGACAATAGGGTCGAGGTCGATGGCCGCGGCCTTCGTGTTGAGCCCCGCCTCCTGGACCTCGCTCCGGTCGATGGAGGCCCAGGCGTCCATGGCCGGCGACCCGGGCGCCACCGTCGCCCCGGGCTCCGCGATGACGAGCGAGTTCTTGAGGCCGTAGAAGAAGTCGAGCTCGTCGCCGCCGGCGCGCTCCGGCGGCGGCGGCGCGCCCGGCCCGCCGACCTGGTGCCACCGCAGGTCCGCGCTCCAGCGGATGGTGCTGCCCGAATTCTTGATGGAACGATGGACCATCGTCGGGCCGAAGAAGATCACGTCGCCGGCCCTGGCCGGCACGAGCGTCGCGCGGTCCGCGGCGTCGGGGAGGCCGAGCTGCGCCGCGACGTCCGCGAGCGAGGTCTCGGTGTACCACGTGTTCCCGAGGCAGCACGTGTGCGTCACGGTCTGGCCCTTTTTGTGCGACCCGCGGATGTACTCCATGCAGCCGTTCGCCGGCGTCGCGTCGACGAGGGGCACCCAGGCCGTGAAGATCTGCTGGCTCCAGAGGCGCGGCTCCCAGTAGCTGTTGTCCTGGTGCCACGGCACCTCCGTCTCGTCGTGGGACGGCATCTTCCCGCGCAGGTTCCACGCGGGGTGGATCGCGAGCTTCCCGTCGGCGTCCGCCGGCACGCCGAGCTGCCTCGCGATGGCGACGACACCGTTGTGCGTGAAGAGCCGCTGGAACGCGGGCGTCAGCTTGCCGTTCTTCGCGCGGACGCGTCGGGATACGCGTCCTGCATGCGCAGGAGCTTCTCGTCCCATGGGATCGCCGCCCACGCGTCGATCGTGCCGTTGAGCCTGCCCTCGGCGAGCAGGCTCCGCGCGAACTCGGTTTGCTTCGCGTCCACGTCGCCGCGGAGCTCCGCGAGCATGGCGCCGTCGAGCACGCCCTCGACCTTGAGGAAGCCGTCGACAAAATATCTTTCCACGTCGCCGGCGGAGAGCGGCCCGGTCCGCGCGAGGGCCGCGTCGAGGGTCTCCTGCCAAGTTGCGCTGACGTCGTGGAACGGCGACGACGGGCGCTCGAGTAAGTTGCCGGCCACGGCCACGGCGAGGATCAGCGCGCGGGCTGCCATCGCGATCGAGGCCATCATCGCGAGTCTGGTTCTGAATGGGCAGCATTAGGGAATCATCACTGCATCTTGGGGCGGTCGGAAAACCGCCGCGACTTGGGGCGGCGGCGATGAACACGCGCGGGGCAGCCCGCGAGGGCACCGCGCAGCACAAACGACCGGTCGAGGAGGGCTCCAGGGTCGCTACGGATGGCGCGGAAAAGCGGCCGCGAGCGCAGCGCCCGCCCGCGACGGAGCCGAACCCGGACATCGACTTCGCTGCCCTACAGCCGAATCGGGCTCCGGCCCGTAAGAGCCGCGCGCGGAGCGTCTCTCCAGCGCCGAAGGACCAGCCGAAGATCAAGCGGTCTCGGAGCGCTTCGCCCGTGCCGAACCGCTCGCGGAGCCCCCCGCGCGGGCCGCGTAAGCCGAAGCTGATCGCGGAGCTCCGGAAGGCCGTCTCGCTGCACGTGTTGGAGAAGAACTACGGCCACCGCGCCGCGGCCGCGGCCGTGAACATGGTCTGCCCGGCCATCAAGTCCGGCGAGGCCGCGGAGATCTCGAAGCAGGACGTCGAGCGCTACAGCGAGCCCTACAAGCAGATGCTCGAGAACGACTTGGACCTCGCCGAAGCCCGCGCGGGCCTCTCGAAGGCCCGGGAGCTCATCGTCTCGAAGCCGCACGACGACGACGCCAAAGTAGCGCTGCGCGTCGCCGAAGGAATCTTCACATCGCAGACCAATTCTGCCCGCCGGAAGATCCAAAACGCCATCGCCGAGATGCAGCTGAAGGCGAACGGCAACAAGGAGTGGCAGGAGCGCCGGGTCTTCGGCGACGGCGACGAGAAGGTCGTCGCGGCCTTCATCGAGCACATGAGCAAGGCGGGCTTCCCCTTCGGCGTCGAGATGGTCAAAGACATGCTCGCGGACATGGCCCAGCAGATGGGCATCGAGGACTTCGTCGCGTCCGAGGGCTTCATGTCCGGCTTCAAGCAGCGCACGGGCAACACCTGGGGCGCGCGGAAGGCCAGCGCCGTCGACCCGAAGCGGGCGAAGGCGGCGGACCCGAAGATCGCCGACGAGATGTTCCGGCAAGGGGAGGAGTTCTACGAGCGGCTCCGCGAGGCGAACCCCGCCCGTTGGCCTTGGGCGACCCTGCGCGACATGCACAAGGAGCGCATCTTTAACTTCGACGAGGCGGGCGACGACGCCAACAAGCGGCGCAGCAAGGTCTACGCCTCGAAGGATCTCGAGCGCGGCGGGCTCCATCGCGTGTTTGAGATCACCCTCGGAGATCACGATCCGTTCCACGTGACCGTCGTGGCGACGATCTGCGCCAACGGCACGCTCTTCCCGCCGCCCATGATCATCCACTCCGCCCCCAACAGCGAGAACCCCGTCCTTACCCTCGCCGACGGCGAGCACATCTACGAGAAGGACGTCGACGGCACGTACAAGTCGCAGACGGGCATGATCGTCAACGTCTCGAAGAACGGCTCGATGACGAAGGAGCTCTTCCCGCTGTACGTGGAGCACTTCCTGAACCACGTCAAGGACGACGGGCGCGGCTACTTCCTCTTCTTCGACGGCCACGTGTCGCGCTGGGCCCCCGGCTGCCTGAAGACGCTCATGGACCGGGGCGTCGCCTGCTTCTGCATCGCGTCGCACTCGTCTATCTGGGCCCAGCCCTGCGACGGCGGCCAGTTCAAGAAGCAGAAGGGCGTCACGGCGGACATGACGCGCCGTTGGCGGACCGCGAACCAGCACGTGCCGTTCACGCGGGGCGTGTGGAACAAGATCTTCCTCCTCGTCTACGCGGAGCTCCAGAAGCAGTTCCGGGAACGCCTGCGCGATCAGGGCCACAACGAGATCACGCAGGCCTTCGAGGACTGCGGCCTCTGCCCCTGGAACCGGCACTGCAAGAACTGGACCGCGGCGTCCGCGTCGTTGGGCACCACGGCGGAGCTCGCCCGCGGCGACATCGACGCCGTCATGGACACGGACCGCTTCCTGGGCTGCGCGGAGGTCGGCGCCGCGGCGATGGACCTGCGCTTCCCGGCCGTGTCGATCCACGAGCTGACCACGGAGGAGAGCGCCGCGCTCGCCGAAATCACCCGCCCCGAGGAGAGCCCCGCGGAGGCCGCGGAGCGCTTCGTCACGGACCTGTTCCGCCGCCTGTGCGCCTGCGACGTCGACGGCGAGAAGGGGTTCGTGCCCGTGGGCCAGGCCGCCGCCGCGGCCTTCAAAGCCTGCGGCTCCCCGCACGAGCAGGCCGTCGTCATCGCCGGTGACGAGGCGCGCGAGCGGCAGCTACGTCGAGCGCAAGCCCAGCTCGGAGCAGCGGTCCAAGGAGAGGTGGCGGAGCTGAAGCGCCAGAGCAGCGGCAAGGTCGAGCACGCGATCCGCCGGGAAAAGGACTGGTTGGTCACGCACGCGGAGACGGGCGTCCATCGGCCAGTCTCGGACGCGGAGCTCCAGTCCCAGATCGGCGACCAGTACGACGCCTCCGCCGTGAAAGCGCTCGCAGCAGCGAGGACCTCTCGCGAGACGACCGCTCGAGCGACGGCGGCGAGGCTCGAGGCCACGAAGGAGAAGAAGGAGGCGACACGGCACGCGGAGCGGATCGCCAAGATGGTCGTCGCGGCGCGGTTGGAGGTCCAGAAGAAGCAGCTCCTGGTCCGCAAGGGCTGGTCGGAGGAGGACTTGGAGGAGGCCTTCGCGTTGTTCCGGAAGACCGAGACCGTCTCGATGATGGGCGCGGTCGCGACGTCGACGTTCAATTCGGAGGCCATCTGCGTCAAGCGACTGGTCCTGGAGACCATGGCGGCGCCGCTCGGCGAGGCGGCCAGGGTCCGCGAGGCGACCGCGCCCAGGCGTCGCAACTACGCGGCGCCGAACACTTCGCGAGGACTCGCCGGCGACAAGGCCCTCGAGGCCCAGGACGCCGACCAACGACGGAGGGACGCCGAGGCGGCCAACACGGCGGCGGCCGCCGCCGAGCGCAAGAAGAAGGCGGACGAGAAGTTCGTGATCGACTGCGAGGAGAAGATCCCGGGCATCGTCGACGCGCTCTCCGGGGAAGGCGCGAAGGAGCCCGGCGACCTCGCGGTCGCGAGCCTGATCCTCCTCGTGAAGTGGCTCCAGTCGAAGCAGGAGGAGGAGCCCGCGTACAAGGTCAAGTCGACCTACAGGAAGGACGAGATCGGGCCGCTTTTGGAGGAGTACGACCGCGTCAATCTCACGAAGACCCGAATCCGAGATCTCGTCCGCGCGTTGAAGCGCGACGCGAAGGCGCGCGCGGACGCGAAGGCGCGCGCGGACGCGGAAGAAGAAACTAAGACCTAAGAACCATCGTCGAACTTCGAATGGCATATGTTGCACTGCGTCGTGGTGGCCGATCTGCGACGCCGCCTCGAAGGAGCCGCCTCGAAGGAGCCGCATCGACGAAGACGCTTCTTACCGGGCCCTCGCGCGTCGGGAAACGGCTGGAGAGCTACAACTTCGGTGGAAGACCGTGCGGCGATGGCGGCCGCGTCGACCGCGGTGCCGCGGGGCGGCCCGTGCGGGTAGCCGCCCGAGGTGGCCGAGTAGGCCCCGGGCAAGTAGCAGTAGGCGTTGCTCTAGCCGTAGGAGTCCGTGTCGTAGCCGTAGCAGGCCTGGAACGACGCGTAGCGGTAGCTCCAGTACGACTCGAAGTAGAAGCAGTCGTACAAGTCGGCGCCGGAGCCGCTCGGGAACACCGATTCGCCGGAGCCCTTGATGCGAACCCGTCTGGCCCCCGAGGGCGTAGAGCACGCGTCGTCGACGTGGAAGGGCGAGAAGACCTCGTGCTCGCCCTGGCAGACATGTCGGGGCAGCCCATGGGCCCCGGCGCCGAACCGGTCGACGCAGCCTACGGCGGCACGTGCGACCTCGGCGCCTGCAGCGAGGCAGCCGGCGTCGACGCCATCATCATGGACGTTGAGGGGAGGTCCTGCGACACGGGCCGACGCGCGACGTGCATCGTATTCGCCAACGAGCTGTCCTCGAGGCGCACCGCGAGCTTTTTGGGCTGGATAGCGAGCTCCACAACGAATTTCAGCGCACTCAAAGCGTCGGCGCGGTTCGACGTGTTAGGAGTGCACGCAGAGCCCCAGCGGCGACCGCAGGACGCCGCCAAGGGCCGGCGGCCCAAGTTCGGGGGGGCGCCCCAAGATGCAGTGATGATTCCCTAACAACAACTTAAACAACGTCGGCAGCATTTGATTATGGATGGACTATACCGCGAGGCGGCGGCGCGCGATTTGGCGGCGGTGCTCGAGGCTTCGGACGAGGCATCGGACGAGGACGAGGACGCGGACATCGGCGAGGACGCGGTCGGGGTGGCGATGATCGAACCCGTCGTCGAAACGCTCATCGACGCAGCGCGCGGCGATTCGACGACGGCGCTGCGGAGCTTTTTAGATGCTGGGGCCGACGCGGAAGCGTTCGATAAATATGGCTATAGCGCGCTCCATTACGCAGCGATGAACAGATTCTCATGTGCGCCAGGCTTCATCGACCACCTGCTGGCCGCCGGCGCCGACGTTCATGCGAGGAATCGCGCCGGGTATACCGCGCTGCACTGCGCGATGCTCCGACAGCAGTTCGACGATCTCGAGCTCTGTATCGAGCGACTCGTTCGGGCCGGCGCCCGCGTCGAGGAGCTGACCAACGGCGGGGAGACGGCCCTCGCCCTCGCGCTCATCGCCGGGCGCGGCGATGTCGCCAAGTGCATGCTCGGCTTCGGCGCCAGGATGACCGCCGAAGATTTGCGACGGCACGCCCGAGCGCGATGGATTCGAACACAGCGACTCTGGCACACAGAAGAGCAAGCTCTTCTGCTCAGGATCGCCAAATTCGATGCGCGCGTGTCCTCGATCGAGGCCGCCGGGGGGGTCGCGGAGTACGCGATCGCGCGGCGCCGCGTGCACGCCGGACTCGTCTGCAAGTGCGCGGCCCGGTCCTTCCCGCTCGACGCGGCGGGCCTCGTCGTGGACTTCCTCTGGCGGCCCGGGGGCGGGCGATTCCTCGACAGGCAGATCCTGCGCAATTTTAGGGAGCCGTGCTAGCAAAGTCCTCCTTAGCCCGCGTCCCAGAGCGGCGCGAGCTCCCGCCGCGCGGCCGCCGCGTCGCCCTTCATGAGCGCGAGGTACGCGGCCTTGCACCGCGCGCGCGCGGCCGCGGCGAGGTCGTCGCCGCCGCCGCGGGAGACCGCGGCGACGAGGTCCCGCGCGGCCGGCGGCAGCGCGCCGCGGACGCGCGCGGCGAGGTCCGGCGCGTCGGCGTCGTCGAGCGCGTCCTCGGCGCCGAGGAGCTCCCGCAACGCCCGCAGCTTCGACGCCGGGTCCGGGAACGCGGCGCTCCGGAGCAGCGCGGCCGCGTCGAGCGCCGCGAGCGCGCGGCCGCGCGCCGCGTCGCGCGCCCGGGACACCGGCGCGGTCCGCCGCTCGCGGTCGAAGCGCGAAATCGCCGCCGCCAGGTGCGCGAGGGCCTCGTCGGGCCGGCCCTTGGGCGCCGCCGCGGAGGCCGCGCGCGCCGCGAGGAACGACCCGAGCTGGTACCGGTGCGGCCCGGCCGCGGCGGGGTCGAGGTCCTCGGCCGCCGCGACGGCCGCGCGGAGCGGCGCCAGCACCGCTTCCTCGTCCCGGCGCAGCTTTTCTGTATCGCCTCTTTCGCCGCCGCCGTCGGCGAAGAGGCGCCGCCGCCGCGCGGTTCCCAAGAAGAGCCGCGTCGCCGCGAGTTCCGCGCACGCCGCGCGCCGGAGGCCGCCGCCGGCGTCGCCGAGGGCGTCGAGGGCGCCGCCGCAGTGGAAGGCCGCGGCCTCGAGGTGCCGCTCGTCGCCGTCGGCCGCGAAGCGCCGCTTCTCGTGCACCGCGACGTTGAGGCGAACGGACGCCTCCGCGGCCTCGCGACGGCGAGCCAGGCCCGCGCCCGGGCGCCGAGGGCGCCGTCGCCCGCCTCGTGGCCCGCCTTGGACGCCGCGCCGCCCACGTCGTTGCACGCGTCGCCGAGGCGTTTCGCGAGGGCCGCCGGCTCGGCGCCGCCGAGGCGCCGCGCGGCCGCGGCCGCGCGCGCGAGCGCGAGCGCGCGGCAGCAGGCGAGGTGCAGCAGCGGCGGCGCGGCGGCCGACGGCGACGGCGGCGGCGCCTTGGCCGCGGCCCGCAGGTCCGCGGCGTCGCGCGAAAACCGCGGCTTGACCAACGCCGCGTCCGCGGCGGCCGCGGCCGCGAGGCCCGCGGCGAGCGCGAGCGCGTCCGGCGCGTGGAAGCAGCCCGGCGCCGCGCCGCCGAGGTCCGAGCCCTCGAAGGTCGGCGCGCGCCGCCGCGCGTCCGGCGACGTCTCGGGCGAGGACGCGCGCCGCGGGTGGAAGACGTCGTCGAGGTCCTTGAGCAGCGCGACGCAGTCCGGCGCGTGGGCGCCCCGCTCGCTCCACTCGAAGCGCCGCTTGTCGACGCCGCGCGCGAAGGCCGCGGCGAGGTGCCAGACCGCGGCGGCGCGCGCGTCGCGGCCCGCGGCGTCGCCGCCGCCGCCGCCGCGCAGGCCCGTCGCGGCCCGCCGGAGCTCGTGCATGAGGTTCGACGGCTGGACGCGCTCGAGGTGCGCCGCCGCCAGCGCGACGGCGCAGTCGACGGCCGCGGCGCTCAGGTCCTCGACGCGCCGCCTGTGTGGAAATCAACCAGTGGAATGGACGCGTCCAGCAAAACTTCAAACCTCTCTATCTCGGTCAAATCGAAGTCGATTCGACTGATTTTTGGACGAATCGATTGCTCTCGTCGAGTTCTCGAAGCACAGCCGAAGAGCTTGCGTCGAAACTGTCGCATACGCTCACATTGAATTCGGGTTGAATATTTGAATTCCACACAGCGCGCCGCGAGATCGCCGCTTTCCCGAACTCGGACTTTTTTTCCGACGCCAGGCGCAGCGCGAAGGCGAGCGCGGCCTCGAAGCGGTCCCGCGCGCTCTCGAGGTCCGCGCTCGCGCAGGCGCGCAGCGCCTCGAAGGGCGCGGGCGCCCCGGCGCCGGCCGGCTCGGAGCCGAAGACCCGGGGCGCGGTCCACGGGTGGTCCGCGGCCCGCTGCGAGCCCCGCCAGCTCTTCGCGCCGTCGAGGAACGACGCGGCCTTCATCTCCTCGAGGGACGCGCGCATGGCGAGGTGGGGCTCGCCCTCGCTGTCCTCGATCTCCGCGAGCAGGTCCAGCGCCGTCGTCGCCAAACCCCGGAGCCGGCCGAGGAGCGACGACCGCGTCGCCGCGTCCAGATCCCCCCCCGCGCCGCCGTCGGCGCCGAGCCGCAGGTGCGCGCGCACGCGGTGGGCGAAGCGCGCGGAGAGCGTGGCCAGCAGCCACTTCCACTGCTTCTTCTTCGCGTCCGCGAGCGCCTGGGCGGGACAAGAGAGATTCGACGTCGCTTCAACGTGAGTGCTCCGAGCGCGCGCGTTCCGGCAAAAGCATCCACGCTTCGAGACCGTTCCGAGAGATGATCGCTCGTCCAAAAAGCAGCCGAAACGAGTGGAAAGCGGCCGAGATCGGAGCCTTTGAAGTTGGGAATTTCCCCGCCCCGGCGAGCGCGTCCAAGTCGTAGAGCCGCAGCCGCTCGTCGGACGCGTCCTTCGCCAACACGTACGTCGCGCCGTCGCGGTCGCAGTGGTCCGCGAGGAAGCGCAGCACGGCCGCGGCGTGGACCTCGACGGACTTGGCGTCGAAGAGCGCGTGGTCGCCGCCGTCGGCGTCCGCGAAGGCCTTGGGGATCTCCGCGGTGTCGAGCACCTTGGCGCCGACGACGACCCCGAAGCGCTCGAGGCAGAGGGCGAGCTTGGGCACGCCGGCGATGACGTTCTCGAGCCAGCCGTCGAGCACGGCCCGCCGCCGCGAGCCGCGCTCGCCGACGTCCTCCGCGCGGATCAGGCGCACGGCCGTGTCCGCGTCGAAGCGGCGGTCCACGAGCGCGTCGCTGCCCGAGAGCACGTCGGCGGCCCCGACGCGCCATCGGCGCACGCGCGCGTAGTCGGGCCAGGGCCGCGCGGCGAGGAGGCCCGCGGGCGCCGCGGCCTCGTCGCCGTACGCGGGGCACAGCGCGGCGTCCGCGAGGGCCTCGACGGCGCGGGCCGCCTCCTCGGAGCGCCGCGCGCCCAGCGACTTCTGCGAGTCCGCGGCCGCGGCGACGATGGCGCGCAGCGCCGCGCGCGTCGACGGCGACGCGCCGCCCGGCTCGAACGCCGCGGCCGCGGCGTCGAGGAGCCGCGGCGGCTCGGCCTTGGCCTCCTCGACGCCGGCGTCCTCCGCGCGCAGGGCGTCGCGGAAGCCGCCGTCCTCGAGGCGCGCCGCGCGGCTCAGCGCCTCGCGGACGCGGCGCCGCCGCGACGACGGCTCCTCGCGCGCGTCGAGCGCCGCCGCCGCCGCGCCCGCGTCCGCGCCGTCGACGACGAGCGTCGAGCCCGCGCGGTGCACGGCGAGCGTCGCGCCGCCGCCGGCGAGCGGCAGCGCGAAGAGCGTCTGGAACGTCCGCGCGTCGCCGACGAACTGGGGCAGCGGCGCCGGCGCCAGGGCCAGCGGCGGGCCGTCGCCGGCGCGCGGGCTCTCG